CTCATTTGGGTGCTGGCGAGAAGGACGTGGAGAAGAACAATGATCTCCATCGAGCCTGGGCGCACCGAGACCCGCGCGCACCGGAGCACCGGGTCCAAGGATCGAAGCGACTCGGAGGTGCTGGGCATCGCCATTGGTTCACGATTTAATGGGGGGGACTGCTCCAAGGACCTTGGAAAATCAACACCTCCGACCTCCGAGTGCAAAGGTTTTGATACTAGGAGGCAGAGCTTCTTATGGAGTCTATTATGGGGAAACGACTTCAAACTATCACCAGTTCCCTGCCAAGTTCCTGGCATTGCCCGAATATCTTACGTGTCAATCGACTTCAGCCGAGCGACGGGAATCCACCCGGGCCTTTTCGACCGGTCAAAGTGACCGAGACGCCCGTGACAAAGGAAAGCTGTTGAGCGCCTTCTTCGTGTCCGCGCTGCGTTGTTTGGATGAGCAGGGCACGGTGCATGTGGCCATGAAGCCCGGCCACCCGCGGGGCGAGCCACGGGGCCGACTGAGACGCGGAGAACGAAACCGCCGGTACCGGATGACACCGGGGGGCGAAACGCAGGAGAGTTGCGGCATCCAAAGTCCTGGTTCGTTCTTTTTTAGAAAATTTCCAGCTGAGCTGGATGCTGCGCTTGGTTGAAGGCGATAAGCCTGTGGATTGTTTGGTTCTTTAGGATCTTTAAGATCTTTAAGGATGTTTGAGGTTGTCAACAGACGTTGGATATCTCCTCGAACAGGAAATACTGCTGATCGGGTCGTGAGCCGTGAAACAACGCAGTGAAGGGCTTCGACCAGGTTTTCGACGCCCATGAAAAAAGCCAGTTCTTGATTTGTGGCTTCTAATGGAAAGGTCGGACATGTCTTCTCACTCTTTCTGAAACAGTTGAAGTTCACTACCTACAAAGGCTTTGCCGGACACGTGTTTAGTGCAGGCAGTGGAGGCAGAATGTCCAAATCATTTCCAACACCACGGAGTTCGGGGGGGTTATTGGAGGGAAAATACATAGGAACAGGATGGAAAAGGGGATGTCAAGGGTGTCGATCAACAGTCCCTTTCGATTCTGGAATTTGCTTCTGATTTCGATTCTATTACAGAGTCCTTGCCGCACATCGCAGGGAAGGTGAGCCGTACAAGAGCTGGAAGATTGTGCAGCTGGCCAAGGTGGCTGGCTGGAGAGGGCCGTGGCGCGTGTGGTTGGGTGCAGTCTTAGGACCGTTTTTCGAGCGTATGATGATCACCCCGCCTGTGAGGAAGAGTTGTGTCATGTTCCATGGTCTTTTGCTCGATGTTCCGGTTTTTGCGGGAGCTTGAGCCCTTTTGTTTGGCTTGGGGTTTGACAGTTTCGGGACCCCATGGCAGATGGACATTGACATACATGTGACTATAAGTTGATTTAAGGAGGAAGTTGCTGCGGGGTTTGGGCCTACCTTTCTTCTTTTCCCTCAGCGAACCTGTTTGTGGTGATCCCGCCCTTTTTCCATGGTCCACATCATGGAACATCACGAGAAGAAACAAGAGAAACCATCTCAGGTCTCTCAAGTATCGCTCATGCCTTTTCTCAGTGCCCAAAGCCGGTCTTCTTTTCCCAACGGAAGGACGTCGCGACCGAGAAAACGGCCAACTGAAAGTGACCCAACGAATGAACATCCACCGGTGAAAGGGCATGAGGCATGAGGCCATGTCCACCTTTTATTTTTGGAGTTTCTCACCAGGAACACCCGATTCTTGGACCAGATGGCCAGTCAGATGGCCATATGGTATGGTCTCCCACGCATGACTTCATCAATTGGCCTTGGCCAAGTGATGCCAAAGGTGTCAATCCTTTATGCAGCAAGTTTGGATGGTGCAAAATCCCTACGAGTCTTTTTTTCCCCCCCAATCCTTCCCTCCCGGGCCCGTTTTTTGTTTTTTTTCCGCTCCGATTGGGGCGAGCTGGGAGCAGAGGTGTCCACGGATGGAGTGCTCCAGCTGCAGAAGGTGGTGCCCTTCTCCTTGAGCGCGTGGCCAGGCGAGTGAGTGCTTCGGATCTTTTGCGGGGGGTTGGAGGTGAGGAACTTCCCGTTCCTCCTTCCACATGGATGGGGTTTGTAGTATGTCGTGGGGCTTGAGAAGCTGATAACTATCTTACGATTCCTGTGGTGGCTGGTTCCCAAGCTTTTTTTGGACATTGATATAGAAGACAGGGAACGAGATGGACAAAATCCCAAGCTTTGATGGTCTCTAGCTTAGGAAGCTGAGAACCGGAAAGTCAAGCCGGGTCAGCGGTTTTGGGGAGCGTAGACAGGGCAACTACTTGGACATTGCATCTCAATCTACACTCCCGAAAACTAACATAGACCCTGAGAATGGCCCCATGGAAGACTATCTTCCTCTACAACCCAGTGGTTTTCAGGTTCCATGTTAGTCTTCCAGGGTGTATTTCATGACACGATCTACACAGCCCCCCAACAAGACAGTCGAGAGTCTAGCACGTACAATACACACGGATGGAAGAAATCACATGCCTCCCCCAAACCCGTTAGGTGAGGGCCAACGATATCTCCTATGCTTCCTCAACAAAAAGCACAACCCCACAGCCCGCAAATCTTCGTCTCCGGTTCACCGAGCCAATGTTGCCTGTCCCATCTGATCTCCGTGATCCTCAGCTTTTCTTCCTTCAATTCATTGGGTGATCCACATCAGACGCATTTCTGCCAGGCTACGAGCACCGGCGCACACGAGGCTTCAACGAGCGATTCTCCAAGAAGGAGCTGGGTGCTTCATGCAGTGCCAAAATGCCGCGTCCCTCCACTGAACACAGGGATAGGACCACCACTTAGATAAAGGCAGTGCCTATCGCACCCTTTGATAGGCTTGTTCTTGCTGTTGGGGAGGTGTTCTTTCTGTAGGTCCGTTGGAACTTCATAAATCGAACATGATTTTGCCTACCTGACACAGCCCCAATTTGTTGGGCCATCGTTTTGATATCGCACTGGACACGTGGCCGCCAAATCCAGCGCTTCCAACCTGTACCGGCCTTTTTGAATCCTGCCATTTTGGGCCTCTGGAATTTGTCAGGGCACAGTTGGACAATTCATGGGTTTCCGCACTTTCAATCTAAGGAAACTCATAGGACTCATAGGAAACTCATAGGTCTAGGTCTAGGTTCATTTAGACTTTAGACGGTCACCGTTTTTTGTAGTCCGGACTGCTGCAGACTGCTTTCCCTGGCTTTTATACATAAAAATGACCAGAGAGACCTTTGAGCCCGATCACATGTCCTTTTGGAACATCGGTCATCGAAGAAGTCCTTGGACAATGGAGACCTATGTGGACGTCGTTTCATATCCACATGATGCCCTTATGATGAAAGCATGATGTGGTTTAGTGTCTGGGTGATGTCTGAATCCGGGCGGGTCTGCATGATCCGGGCGAGCACATTTGGAGCACAGCGAAGCGAAGGACAACGAAGAGCTGGCCAAAGGTGCCAAGGTGGGACGAGAGCGAAGTCTGGGGCAGTTGAAAACCTTCACCTCACCATCCCTGTTTTTGCTATGCATCTGAAAGTCCTAGAACACATGGTCCTGCCAAATGGGCCATTGAGATGCAGGCCTTTTCATGGCCATCACGTTGGGCTCAACCTCTTTCGCCTTGAGCCGTTTCACCTCCGAAAGCACCCCGTCCCCCGCCGTCCACGTGGTCGACCACCGGGTGACCACCCCGCGCCCCCGGACGTGGGTCGACCGGATGACCCGCGTGGTGGCGGAGAAGGGGAACACGAGGGGATTATAGTTCTAAAGTCTTGGCTGGGGACCGTGACCTAGACACCATTTGGCTGTAAAGACCATAAGGTTAGCAATGGGTAGAAAAGGTGGTTGCCCGGCCTTGAACTGGGGCGTGGTATGGTGATGTAACATGCAGATGTGGATGCTGATTGGTATGGTTTTCTCGCCCTGGGCGATCTGTCGGATTCCAAAGATGCGATTTCAGGTGGGGCAAACGACACACTTGTGAAAGACCGTCATGCAATGTAGGACGAACTCTGCTCTCTGCAGACCGGCCGACCTCCCACCGGTCGCCTGACATGTCCCACCCGCTTGAGAGGTCTATGTCTTCGCGCGAAGTGGCTCTGACTGCAGGGGGTCGGACACGGAGTTCGGTCGTTTGGGGCTCCTGTGAGTGAGACAAGAGTCTGAAGCGACAAGAGACTGCTCCAAAGCACTCCAGATGCTTCTGAAGTTCTTTCATGTTCTTTCATCCGCACCTTTTGCCACAAATTAGAACGCCTCACTGTGAAACATTGTGACACATCTGTGCTGAGGTCAAGGCAACGCCGAGGCTGAACAAGACGCGGAAGATGAATAGAAGTCGAAGGATTCCTGGAGCCCCGCGAAGCGCGGCGAAGCAGTACTCCAAGCAGGATTCCGGGAGCAAAAAGGTCTTTCTGCAGCGACTGGCGCGCCAGTCAGCGGAAGTTCTTCCCATATAATCCCTGATAAGCTTGATGTTTGCAAAATGTGACGTTGAGTTTCTGGTTGATGCTCCACTGAAGATATTCTTCAAAGCTGGTGTTGGTGGATGATGTCAAATTGACGCGCCGACTGGGATCAGCATTTCGGGACCTCTTGTTGGTCTATCGTTTTGAGCATCATCCACAGGTGAGACTGGGACGCTTTCCAGGTGGACATGGTGAATGGATGTGAATGGAGAATGAGGCAGATACCTGAAAGACTGTTTCAGGATACACAGACCGACAGACCCAGGTGATGAGAGACGCTCCCAAGAATATTCGTCACACCCAAGACACACAAATTAGGGGGTTGCAAGAAATGATCTGGTTCTATATGGAAAGGGAGACCCACCAGTTTGATCCCCTGGACGAAGGAAAAAAACAAGAACGGTTGGTCTTCCTAGTCGGATACACATCCAAGCATCGTTTGGAAACACATTCTGATCGGCGGACAAGTGGGCCTCCCTTTTGACCACTTCCAACCGTTTCCGGTCTCCATCCACCAAGGCGAGAAATGGTCTCCACACTCAAGGAGCACAACGCGCGAGTGAACGACGTTAAGCTGGGAACCGCCAGTGGCGGGCGGGTTTCCGATGGCAGGGCCGATTCCACTTCTGGGCGAAGGCATGGGAGAAGGATTCGGCGTTTACATTCATTTTCCATGGAACTTCACTGTTTCCGTCTGAGAGCCACCTGCCTTTGACATCTCTCTAACCTGCCTTTGCCTGGGAGTGAGCCAGTGCTCCGACCCCCCACCGTCTCCCCACCAAAACGCCTCGGGACGTCCCCCCCCGCGCCGCTCCCGGTCGACCTTGGACCCCGAACCGAGGCTCTTCCCCAACGACCAGTACGCCATCTCCGTGAGCCGGGATCGGTGTCTCCTCACCTGGGCCGGGGTCCCTGGGGGCGGAGTGGTGGCGCATGAGGGCGCCAGAGTTCGCGTGACTACGAATGGAGCAAGAAGCTAGTAGGGGCGCTCCTGTCATGACTACGAACGGAACAAGGACAGTACTAGATGTTACTAGCAATGAAAGAGTCACCCAGATCCGAACATCACCTGTCCCCCCCCATTTGCATACATGAGCAGACATGTATGAAGCCACCCGCCCTCCCCTCCCTTGAGATGGACCGGGTGATATCCGAAGTAAGACCTGAGTCACTGAGATGTCCATACTTTTGACTGAACACATGCTGACGCATGGTGACCCTCTACCGGACGAGACGGTGGTGAGTGGCCGATTGCTGAGCTTTTTTGCCCCGCATTGGACCGCCAACGGGGTGTGTGGGTCAACCATCATGGTACTGGACGGTGAACAAGAACAAATTATCCCACTCCAATCTTGCTGACCGCAAAAATGCCCCCCATGTTCAAGCTTCTCCAAGAAGTTGCCGTAACAATTCACTCATCTAATGTAGATGCTTGATGAAGACCCCCCCGGGCCTGCCTGGAGATCTAAAGCCATTCTGGATCTGATGGGTGATAAATCGTCAGGAGCCCACCCCTCACCTCAGACTTAGACCTCCCCTCGTATTTGGAGAAAAAAAGGGGTCTTCCAGGGGCCGAACTGTTCCACTTCCACGATGGTCTCAGGGAATCGACATGGGTGTGTATTGGATGATGCTGGAGACCCCCTGGCCCAATGAGTGTTCGGATGGTGGACTGGTCGATTCTTCCGAACCTTCTCCTTCTTCTCCCCTATTTGAAGACACGCTCACATGATCAGTTCTACCGCTTCTCGAATGGAAGACATACCGTTCATTCAATGGTCGCTTCACCGTTGGCAACGAATCGACCCAACGACCATGAGGATCTTCGGGCGGAGAAGCGGCTCACCTCGCACCGGGAGAGGCGCGGCCAGTGGAGAGGACATGAGAGGACTGAAAAAGAGGCCCTGGCCCACTGATGCTTAAAAGAAAAAGGACTTCAGAAAGGACAGCAAAGTCTTTACATAGACTTTGGTGCTTCCTTTCAACATGTAGTTATTATTGTAATATATTTTTTGAAAGATGATCTGGGGCACCAGGACTCAGGGGCAGATCCGGACTGGCTGAAATTTGTGGGGGGAGATGTTGATACCGTACAACCATAGGACCGAGCGAAGTGTATGTGGTGTCCATCGGACGATCGGATCGGGCCTCCGGACTCTCGGAGAGCTGGTGGCATCGTCCTTCGTTCAGGACTTGATTTGGGTGGAAACCATGTCCCCCCCGGGCTGCCCCGAAGGCTTAATGCCAAAGGAAACAGAAGCTTAGAAAGCTATACCAAGAGTCACAAAAGGGTGCTTTTTAGTCCCTAAGTGAGTGGATCATGGGCACTCCTATCCTCCATGCTCGGCACCCCTTAGTGATTCCTTCATGCGATCGTCGAGCTATACTGTGGGACCTCCGGAGCGCTCTTCGAAAGGAATGACATGATCGTACTCAAGCAGTTCCAAGTCTGAACACCGATCTACTGTAGAATTTAGACTGAATTCAATTAACAATTTGATTAATGATTAACTTGGCTTAATTAAGATTCTTTATTCAAATTCTGAATCTTGGCTTCGGTTATAAATTTGGAGGGTGAAGCATAATAAGTCATCCTTTCCGGATCTTGACCGAGAGTCCCTCTTTCTTGGCTTCGAGAGTTTGTCGTGGCTTCGAGAAAGGCACGGTGGCATCAACTGCCTCACCGTGGCCTCCAACCAGACCACCGTGACCACAGCAGGGCCGGGGTGACCTGAGGGTCTGACCAGGGTGCTCTCAGATGGACGAATTTCACAAGAAAAAGACCGTTCTTTTCTACAGGTCCCCAGTGTCCCCAGATAGGCAGACCAGACAGACAGGACCAGACCAGACCAGACCAGACCGGACAGAGATCGATCCATCGACCGATCGCCCCGCGTGTCCGAAGTGAAGACCTCACTGCTCCGAACCTGCACTCCTTGCCCGGTCCATGCGAGGACCGGGCAAAAAAGAGAGAAGGAACGGACCTGCGAGTCCCACCAAACGGATGGCTCCAATTCTGAGGCGACGAACATGTTTATAGTTTCTATACCATAGTAAGTAGCGATGGCCTGACCTCCGTGCGTGCTCATAGCTTCCTTGAGTTGTTTCACCACTTCTGAGGCAAGAAAAGACCTTGACCACCTGGGATTTGCGCATGGCCGACCCGGTGCGCATCATCGATCTGGATGAAGAGGCGCGCCACGCCGCAGGAACTGTTCCGTTGCCGCCGTGGTTTTCGCGAGCAGAATGCTGACCTCACAGATTGAAGTTCCCGTGTGATTTTTAACAATGAAGCCCATTTTCCAGGTTCTTCCCCTTCCAAAAGGGAGGTCAGGTGGGATTTCGGGGGTGTGTCTTATTTTTCTGGATCTTTTTGTGGGTGAAGCCGTACATCAGAAGCACATTCAAACCATCATCCAACTCCTTGGCCACCCAGGCGCCCGGGGAGGAGACCTATCCCAAAGCGCCCGCGGTTTCTCACGCCGCGGCGGCGTTGGATTTCACCTCTAGATCAGGTCTTTCACCCATCACTTGGCCATTGCGCGCCTGGCATTGCGCCTACTACCCAGATCAGGAATAAGGCGAATAAGGATGGGTGCAATCACCTGAAACCACTTGGGGGATGGATCATTGCGCCCGGTGGAACGGTCGATCTGTGGCCTCTCTGAATCGGATGTCCGGGTGGTTGGAACGGTAGGAGCGTGTGAACCACGTGTTGATCCAGAAGCAACCGGACCGACTGGTGGTTCTGGTTCTATCTGGTTCTCAAAGGACGGAGCGTGTGAACCACGTGGGATGGCATCCGCCTGTCCTCATGGCATCCGCCTTTCAGCCGTCAGCTACGCCAGCTACGCCAGCTACGCCAGGTGCTGAGTGTGAGCTCCAGCCATGACGATGCCTTTTTGGCGACTGGCGGCACCGGACAGGTGGTGAAGGTGCGGAACGGTCGGAGCATGGTTCAGAGAGAGTGCAGAGGTGTGGCTGAAGCACGGCCTTTTCCTTCCTTCTTCGATGAAAGGCTCCAGCAACTCGAGTGTTTTTGAAGGCCCAAAGGGGCCCCTTGGGTACGAATCGTGGCATCGAGGGCTTTGGGTACTGGCACCGAAGAAACCGCAGGCGACACGGTCTGTTTGTGTTGGCAGGTTTGGGACATCCGCAATGATCAGGCCCGGCCCGGCCTCGATGCCCGAAGCGGATGCGAAGCGGAGACGTTTGGCATGTTCCCATCCTTCTCCCTTGTCAAGAAGAGATCGTACTGTAGGATGCAAAGCCGCGTCTCGATAGGAGCCAGTGTTGTCTGAGAATCCAAAGATCCCGCAAGGAAGAGAACACAGATGGCCAACACCCCACACTCCTTGGATCCCCAAATGTCCCCAACCAGTCTCCCTATAGCCCCTGAGGAGTACCAGTCGCCTCGAACGGCACACGGTACCGCCGGCACGTCTGCCGAGTCATGGCGCGCATGTGTCCGCGCATGCTTGCGCGCAGGTGGCCTTTTCTTCCCTGGGCGCTGGGCATTCACGCAGCATCCAGTGGGCACCTGAGACCGACCTTCGACTTGACATCGACTCGACCATTCTCATTCTGAGACACCGAAAGATGGGGACCACCTTGAGGGCACAGAGGACATCGAAATTGCTGGACTTGCTGGGGACTTGCTTGGGCCACAGCGAGCGAGAACTTCAGGAAGATCAGCTTCAGCCCAGATGCGAAGCAGATCGTCTCTGTAGGCAGATGTCGCTTCCTTTTTAGTGGTGCATTGACAGAGCCGGTGACACTCACGTACATTTGGGGTGCAAGGGGCGTTTGAACTCCAAGCTGATTGCCAAACATGCACTTTCTAGTCATTGGTGGAGCCAAAGATAAATGGTAATGATGAGGAACATACAACTAGATCCTGAGGTTAGAAAGGGAAGTCACAGTTTCTTTTGCTCTAGCTTTCTTCGCGTATGCAAAAAATCCTTTTGCATGCCAGAGTACATAATATGTATATAGTATTTAGTGATATTAAGTGTATCGCTACTAGTAGCAAGAAGCTACTAGGTTGGAGGGCATCACTATTAGGTTGAAGGCCATTACTACTAGCTTCTAGCTACTAGCAACAAAAATACAAACATATTCATCCAACAAATCCACGGATGGTTGCTCTTACTGTATTGCGATGACAACAAAAGGTGCAAGCAGCGACTCGCTTTAGTGGCTGCTTGCCGCTTTCGCACAAAGAGCAACGTGATCCAGAAGCGTGTACTCAAGTTTCAATAAGCATGGCAAGCCAGTAGGGATGGTTGAGAAGCTGAGTTTGCATTGCCAGCATTGTTCTACCAGCTTGTCATGTGGGAATGAATAGCTCAGTTTTGGCATTTGTCTCAAGCTTTTGGCCATGGCATTTGGTGGCTAGAAATGACGACCTAGGATCTAGAGGCCATCAATCTGGAGAAGCAAAGTCTTGATTTGCCAATGCTTGATTCGCTGGATGTGACAGGTTTAGACCATTCCATCATGGTATGGAACTGCTACTCATAGGCGCGATAAAAAAAAGACACACACGAGAGGGTCGTGGAAAGCCTTGTGGTCCATGTACGTCGCTGTGGGAAGATAGCTTGGTTTGTAGCGCGCGCGGTAGCAACAGGTGGACCAAGTAGAACCGAAGTGGATGTCCGAGATCAGAGGCCCTTGTTTCTTCTGAAAAGGTTGCATCTTACATTTGGCTGATTGTGGTCCAAGCTACGAGACGATGGTAAGATCTACATGTAGCCTGCCTAATTAGGGGGGATGAATGAAGGTGAGGCTGTGCCACTGGGGAGAGGCAACTTTTAGAGTTCCTCCAACGATAGGAGTGACTGTCACCATCCCTAGTGAATCCTGGTGAGGAACAGGGAATCATAGACGTCATTTCCGAAGAACATTGGCTGTGGAAAAGTGATGGCATGATGTCAAGAGGCATCGTTGGACCGTCTTGTTCTTGCGCTGCCCACCAGCTCCGAGGGAGTGTTTCCATTTGGGAGGATTGCGGTCCCGGGAACGACGCCTTCAGCGCGGACGCCCTTTTCGGGCCGTGTGGGTCGGCCCGTGTGGGTCGGGCCGTGCTTCGGTGCCGCGACCTCCGCCAGGTTTCACGGCGGGTCCGCTCCGCGCGCAAAGACGTGAGGCGAGAGGCGAGAGAGGCGTTCGACAGGCGCGACTAAGTGCTTTCGACAGGCGGCTCCCTAGACCTGCGTGAGAAAGGAGTCAAAGCCTGAAAAGGGTGGTGTGAATATCAGGGGAGGTATGCGGAAGCATGGCCCCCCCTGGCCTTTCGCTGGGGATCAAGGGTTTTGAGCCATGACTGAGCGAAACCTGGAGATCTCAAATTGGGCCTGGAAAGCAGCCGATCAAAGCACGAGGAATCTTTCCAAGGTAGGTGTTGCGAACCGCACTGCAGGGTTGGCACTGCCAGGGGCAAGGGGTCATAGACAAGTCTCAGAAGTTTGCTTGGAGCTCCTTTCAAGGGTTTCTTCGGAAGAAGAGGAAGTTCGTAGTTGCCAGTCAGATACACTTCAAGCAGGTGTAAAAACAGCTGGTTCTTGATTTCACTGGTTGTGAGATTGCCATGCAGTCTGCCTGGTTGCGCCACCCGACTCTGCATGCAGCTTTCACTCTCGGCGAACCCAGCAACATGCTGGGTAGGTCGTTCGTGCACGACTTAACCCATGAAGCGAAAAAGCACTTGACACGCTTCACTTGACGGAAGAGATCCACAGAAACACCTGGAATTCCCGGTCACACTCTAAATTCCCGAACAAGTTCAGGTGTTTGACGAAGGACAGGTTCATTTTCTACTTGTTTCAGACTGTTGGGGTGTTGCCGGTACCCAAACTTGAACCCAGCTCCATTTGAGATGGCTTTCCTTGATTCAACAGCACTGAAGGATACCGCAATGGCTCCAGGCGGCCTAGAGGGCCTAGTTCATTTCGCAAAGAACTGGCCGTTGGTCGAATCCAAAATATTGGGTGAATGATCAAAGAGCAGCTGACTGGACGTTCATTTCCCCCCAAACCAGACTGGCTTTTGATCTATCCTCCTTGGGAACCCACTTTGATGGCGGCCGTTCGCGGGTTCTTGTGGCTCAAGACGGTGGAGCAGAGGAGCAGAGGAGCAATGAAGATATTGAGAATTTAATCCGCGTACAAAAATCATGCTGAATCATGTTGAATCACCCGAACTGATTTAGAGATTTGGTTTGCAACAACACGCCTCAAATCGGGCCGTTTGCCTGAAACGGTGACCTTCGTGATTGAATCACCCTGGAGAATGGAGCATGGATTCTCCGGTGGTGCTAAGATGCTTTGCTATCACCTCTAATCCATTCCAAGCTTGCACACAGCAAGTAGAAGACTCCACACTTTTCCAGAAGGTGGGTCATGATGCAACTCACTTCTCATGGTCATGATGCAACCTGCACATTGTTCAGATCAAAAGCACATTTTCACTTTTTCCCTTGGGAACACCTGTCGGGATGCCAACCTATGCCACTCCGGCCGGCACCCCCGAGCGACGCGGAAAGTCCAGAGTTCGTCACAGACTCCACCGGTGGAGCGAAGAAAAAGGGGGTTCTCATCAATCAACCCAGTTTCAAGCATCATTTGATGCGGGCCCCCAGCAGCGAGTTGTTTTTTCTGCAGTCATCATTTTGGTTGACCAAAAGGATGCGACCTCAGATGGATGGCCATCTGGTGACATGTCACCCAAAGATGCGACCTAACGTGGCCATCTGCTTGGGGGAACGCCCTCCGCTCTGGGAACGCCCCGCGGCTCCGGGCGGGTTTTGAGGCGGTGACGGGCCAGATGCGTGACAAGACCGATGAGTTGGGGGAGCCTGGGAATCAGTCTGAGGAGCCAGTCCTCGGACGTATCTGAATATATATGGAGCATTATGGAGCGCAGTGCAGTCGGAAGGGTGAAAGAGTTGTTCGGATGTGCGAAAAGAAACAGCGAGGCTCCTTAAAGTGGAGGAGTGAGCACTGATGGAACCTGGGTCTTGGGAGGGTGAGTCATGTTCTCTGAATCTGGAAAGCATGATGGATGAGGATTCACACCAAAAGAACACGAGTTGCAGGGCATTCCACGAGTGACAGGGTGGATCCTTTTCAAAACGCCAAGTCAAAGAACGCCCGCAAGTCCCACTGTTTGCACTACCATGTCGAACGCAGCCAACTCCGTGATGTTCCGCTCCACCGAGTGCCTCCGGCAGCTCGACGCCCAGGTTGATCCATGACCTGAGTAGCTGTGATCCCCATGTCCGGCAGGCGACGCGAGTGGAACGATGGGTGGGACGAGACCAGATGCGTTGACCAGTTTGGGCGACTGGCAACTGTCAAAGACTTGGAATCTTGGGGTTTTCGACGGGGAAAACGGTCTGAAAGAGACGGTTTAAGGGTTGATTGATGCGGGAATCAGACGGTAGACGGTCCACTCCCTGGAATCATCATGGTTACGTGGATCACCACTGTTTAATGGTCATCCAAGGGGATCCAAGGGGACCATATATTGCCATTTCCATGATCATTCCAGGGAGCGTAATTCTATACTGCTGTAGGATGTGCAAGACAGTTTGGTCGCCACATCATGGGGTTTACTCGGTTGCCTCCACGAGCCCATCCTAAGGCCCAATCAGAGAGCTCAAAGGAACCACTTCCCAAAGCAGGCTCCACATTGAGCAAACCCATCAAGATCCAGTTCCCAGTCACAAGACGGGGTGCCGAACTTGGAGGAAGTTGGGGTGCCCAGCTACTCCACTCACTGGATGGGACTAAATACTGTACCACCCAACTCCATGTGACTCCAGTTCTTAAGATGTTTTTTCTTTGCGACCCGTCTGACCCATCTCAGGCGGCTTGTCAAGGTCTCGGCCGTGAAACCAAGACACCGAGCCGTGCGGTGCCTCCGTTGTTGAACGGCATCCAGGCAACGCGCGCACGAGCGGGTGCGCGCGACACGCGCGGGTGCGGGTGTGGATTCGCCGTGAACGGTCCCTCGCGTCCCAGCGTCCAAAGCGTTCCTCTGGCGGAACTGACGTGGGGGCAGAGGGGCGAGTCAGACCTGAGACTTCGCTTGGACTTCAAGCGAGTCTCATAGCTTATTGATATGTAGACTCTTGACACTTGATGAATAACGCCCCGGGGCTAGAAGAGGTTTATAAAGTTCAATTGGGAAAAGGTAGTGATGGTCCTCAAGAGTCTACATGGCAATGGATGTACATGGATGTTCGATACTTCGTCCATTGATCTAGTCACTGATCTCCCCTCTCGGAGGTGGGTGCGTGCGTTTCCAGACTGCTACCGTCGCGCGGTGAGGACCAGAACAGCTACGTGCGCCTGGCGGCAGCCACCAGTCTGGGGCAGGTGGGGGTCTGAGGGGCGTTAAGGGTGATCCCCGACCTGGATACACTCGGACGAAAACTCACATGGAGGTGGACAATTTTGGGACCCTGGAAGACGATGGTCCTCTACTGTCGAAGACACTGGAGGGGTGAACTCCACTTCCATGTTAGTGAGACAAAGTGTATTTGGGCTGACTCAAGTTCAGAACTTTCGGAGGGTAATCCTTGTGACAGGTGTCCCGCCTTGTGCTCAGCCATTTTTTTGGTTGCCTCGTTGTGAGGACTGTCAGGATGATTTTGACCGATGGTGACTCTCTATTGGGGTCAATTGAGTCTTTCTACCTTGCTGAGACGCTGAAGTCAGCACTCCTCCAGACAGACCCTGGCCCCTGGGCCTCGGTCAAGTGAGGAGCCAGGTGAGCGTCAAGGAGGGTAGAAAGACTTACTGTTTGAGATAGGGATCCCTCCCAGGCATTGGGTGTTGTGGAAACACTCACGCCTCACGCTGGGGGGTGGCCACCGCATGTCGACTGCATGAAACCGCAAAGACCAGGGTCCCCCTGTTAAAGACACACCCACTTCAAGAGAAGAGAGAGAGAGAGAGATGTTTCGAACTGACAAAGAGGCCAGTGATTGCGGAAGAAACCTCCGGAGGACATCTAGTGGCACCACATGACATCTAGGACATCTAAATCATTTTTACTCTTGCACAGATGGCGCAACACATGTCTGTGACATGGCATGTGAGTCGTGTCCGAACCCTTTGCTCGCCGCCAATGTTGAATACAAGGACCTTGTTGTATTTAAATTGCATAAGCTACGTCAAGCCAGACCCACGAGAGGGTGGTCCCATAACAATATCTATATCTCATTATATATTATAATTATGAATTATGTAAATATGTTTTTTTTTGTACTGGGGCTGCTTGGACTTCATGCACAAGAACGTCAGGATATTTTACTTGTTCGTGGCGAGCGCTTGGACTCTTCCGAGCTCGCTCGTGCTGAACCACTCGAACAGAACGGACTCTTCGTGCCTCGAACTAGACGGCCGAAACGGCCCCGACCAAAACCCGCCGACCGAACTCCGCAGTGCTCGCTGAGAGCACTCACCGGCGAGCCAGGTGGCCAGGAAAGGAGATGAGGAGGTCCTGGAAGCCTTAATCGTCGGGCAGCCCAGCCAGCAGAGTACTCGCGAGCGCCGTGCGAGCGCTTGAAATAAACACCTCGCGTGAGTGGGGTCGAACGATGGTCCAAGATTGCACACCTTGGATAGAATGGGCATACCTGCTATCACCTTGGGACCAACATCGGAATGCTTGGTCTTTGTCTCCTTGGCTCCTCCGGCATCCTCTGCGCATTCGGGCTCCGTCTGAGGCTCGTTTCAGCGACACCGATGCCTCGGTGCGCCGGGTGGCATGCGCTGCAGCAGGGCAGGTGCGCCGAAAAGCAGGAGGGCATGCTGAAGAACGAAGTGTCTCAAGGTTTATGAGGTGAACGAACTGGGAACTGAGACATCGAAACCACCTGTTCATTCAACCCCATTGTAGGGAACTTCATTGTTCAACCCCTCCACTATTCTTACACCTGTTCATTCTTGAGTATTCTCTCAACCCCTACACACGATGCCTTAAGATGTCTCTTAAGCATTCTTGAGCATTCTTGAGGTCGAGAGCACCGTGTCGAGAGCGGGAGCACCGTGACGTCGGCTCCGGAGGTCTCCAATAAGTCCAATGCGCGCGTGCTTTCGGCGCCCTCGGCGGACGTGCGGAAACGGGAGCGGCCAAGAACGGGCGGAAACACCGCGAGGGAGGGCATCCTCAGCAGCATAGAGAATGGACCAACCCTGTGGATGAAGTGCAAGAACCGGTGTGCAAAAAGTTGGTGTGCTGGCCAATCTTGCCGTCCCATGGATCTCGTTGTGGTTACGCAAGGAGCTGGTGGTTTAGAGATGTATCCGGTCCAAAGGTGTTCCTGATTTGATAGGACTGCAAATGGGAGCAGTAGCCCTCCCAATTTCATCACGTTTCACGGGGCGTGGATTGGGATACAAATAAGGCAAGACGCTCTCCACATCTGGGGGCTGAGGCAAACCCATTTTTGCGGAAAAGTTGTTGAACCAATCCCCTTCAAGGAGTCTTGATTGTTTTGTCTCCACTTGCTTCAACAAGAACCATGTGACCACCACGAATTTGATGTCCATGGGTCTCATGGTGGTTCACCATGTCTTCCCTTGGGTCTCATGTTTCGGGATCTTTGGCGAACCGGACTCCGAGGCCTTGCTGGCGCGCTCTGAGGACCGCGACGGCGGGGTGCGGCGCAGCGCCGTGAAGGCGTTGGAGAAGGCCGAGCCGAGCCGGGCCAAGGAGAAGGAGCGCTGAGTTGGTGAATGGGATGAAAATGGAAGGGGATGGTTATCCATATCATATCATTAGGGTATGGTATCATTATGGTTTTTTCATACAACAAAAAGAGTCGATTTTGGAGTGAGTGCTGCATTGGAGTGATGTACAGGCTGTTTTGGTCTTTGAGGGATGTTTTGGGTTTCTCTGGATCGTTCCAAATCACCCTTTTGGATCCCCAAAGTTCCTCACTCGCGCAAGACATTCAGTGAGGAGTCGGCGATTCCGAGCGATTCTGCGGCCATGAGCTGTATGTCATAGATGGGGTTTAGTCGCAGGGTTCTTGCCTCACCTTTTTGGGCGCAGGGGGACTTGTTTCGCGCGAAGCGGCGGAAGCGAAAAGCGGTCTCCGGCGGTCTTCAGGTGGCGAAGAAGGAAGATCCACAGGCCAGCGGGGGGGTATGGGAAAAACATGTGGAGAAGCGGCAAGTTCTGCCAAGTGATTTCAAGCAAATATGGATATAACATGGATTCTATACAGTAGTACAGCACATGTCACATCTGATGAGATTTCTTGCGAACTACGGGTGAACCGCCCTCCTCGCCTCCCGCCATGAAACATGGCGCACCGTTTCACACGGGAGGTCCTGGCCGCGCTCTTCCAGCGCAGCAATGACTCGGAGGCCTTCGTGCGCTACAGCGCGGTGGAGGCCCGGCGGCGGTGGTTCGCATTCAACCGAGTTCTCCCGTTCGACGAGCAGGACGAGCCGGGTACGGTAGAACTCTCAGCGAACAGAGGATGTTCACCAAGTGCTATGGGTCAAATGACCATAAATGACCGACATACAGCCATGCAGATCATTGATTCGGATGATCCAAGATCAAATGACAAGTCATCGAAGTGGTTGCGGTTTGCCTTTTTCAATGCAGAATCTCACATAGAATCTAACTCAGTGATTCAAACGATGAAGTCAAATGAGAGACACCCCCAAAGATGGGCGGACTTCTCTAATCCTCTAAGTCTACTCAAGGCCTGCTGGGGTTCTGTGGTCTTTGAACAGCCTGAGGCTCTGTGCAATTTGGCGGCGGAAGGAAGCCCAGAGGCACTGCAAAGCCTGGATTGGAACCTATCCAATCAGAGTCTCGGAGTCTCGGGGACCCTATCCGACTGCCATCCATTCAGACTGCCATCCAATTGCCGGGCTAAGGATTGAACACCAAATAAGAATGAACGTTCTTCTCTTTTTCACGTGCCAATTTCTACCGGTGGTTTTATAACTTCCCCTCATAGATATGAGGAACAGGATTTGTTTCAACTCTCGTCTAACGTATGGTTAGTCGGAGACGGATGTTGCTCAATCTGCCCCCAAAGTCCCATGTTCTTTGGGGGCAACACCATGGAGATATTGAACACCCCTGGCATGGTAGTGGGGTGCAAGATATGTGGAAGGCTGAGTTGCTAACCACAGTCATCCTACGTATATTGCTGGGCAACTAGAATTAGACACCTCATGAGCAACACATACACGAGCCTGACAACCAGATCCAGAGTAATGACTGAAGTGTTGACACTGAAAGCTGTTCTTTTGTTCTACTGTCTTAACTATAGTTTTGTTTACTTCCCTTCTAAACCAAGTTTGCTCGCTTTTTGCTTCCTATCCTTTGAAGGTGCGATGTCTTGGGGCAGCCACAACAGTTCGTATGGCCTAGCCAGGAATCGACGTATGCCTGATCGATTGGTGGCAAACGCTCGCACAGTGTATGCACAGTCTTTGCGTGGCTTCGTTTGCCTTTGCGCTCTGTCCTCGCTGGCCACTACTGGGCATATCACTAGCCTGTCTCCTGTGACAAGCGTGACCAGTGGATGAGGGCTGAGGGGCTTGTGGAGAAGTTGAAGGAGCTTCGAAGGGCTCAAAGGTCCACAAAGCCCTTGAGATGTAAACGGTGGCTTTGCTCCAAGTTGGGAAGGGGACGTCGTACACGCGCAGCGTGTGAAGAGTGAAGAGCACACTGTGGAGGTCATCCTGTTGCGTGCGTGGGCGCGCAGCTGTGGGACCCGTCGTCCGATCTCCAAGGCGCCCGTGGGACTTGCAATCAGCATGGCCCATCTGGAGTTGAGGCTGCAGAAGATTTGGTGGTTGTTGTACTCCTTCTACTCCCACCTCTTCACTGCGAAGTCGCGGGGCTCGGTTTGGCCCGGCGGCTTCCAGCCCCCCCCAAAAGGATGTGGGCAATCCAGCGAGCAGGCAATACAGCGAGCATGCGACCAGAGAAATTTCTCCACAGGAATGGTGTGGAGCATGGGTGTTGCAATGTCTTGGCTCCTGTTTTGGCTGCCGGCCTTAATCGCCTACCTGCGCTACCAGCGCAAGCTGGAGTGGCGTCCACCGACGGCGAGCCATTGAGGCACGGCTGCTTTGCAGAAGGCAATGTGCAGCGCCAGCATCTGGCGGAACAAAGGGATCCGTCGAACATTGTTTGTGAATGTGTGAATGTTTGCAATGCCTTTTGCTGAACACAGGGGGGGGGCTTGTCGTATATATTCAGTGTGAAGCCTGTTGCGCCCGCTAGAGTTTTTAAGAGCAGCACCAACGCCGACACACCCAGGAAGCAGGGACAGATTCGGAATAGATGGATAGCTTTGCGCAGCCCAATCCTCGTGGTTGAAGCGGTTTCAGCGCAATGAATCAGCAATTACCTTCCAAAGAAGCAGAGCAAGTAGGGACCACGCCACAAACCAATTTGTGGTTATTTTACATGGAGAGATTGAATCATGGTCTTCCAGTTTAGACCTACAAATTGTATGGCATGCCCTTTTCAAGCGGAACCGTGCCCTCAGATGCACACACCCTTTCTTCTTTGTGAGTGATTAGAGCATTTAAAGCAACCTTTAGTCTGTGCAAGGTAAGTCTTGGGCCCGTGTACAGAAAAAGCTTTGAGAAAGGTTTGGACGCTTTTCTTGCAAACCGTGTTGAATTTCATTGACCTTGTTCATGTCGGTAAAGGATGCCAAATGTGTTCAAAAGCATCTTCACAGCCATTCTTCGCATTGTGGCAGCCTTCATGGTTTGCTTGTCAGGTGGTCAATCGCATGTTGGAGCTACAATCTGACCGTGATGTAACTTGGATCAAGCAGAAATATTGTTAGGTTTTGCAGACCTCCAAGATCTTGACAGGGTCATTAGTCCTTACTGTAGCTAATTATGTGGGATGAGCAGAAACTTATGGGATCATTTCTGGAACAGTTATGATGTTTACACCATGGAAACCAACACGTGCAAGTAATTGCAGTTTAGGTAGTTACAGGGGCTTGTGCAACAGGACCACCTTCAGCTGGACATGGATCCCCTCCATGAAGGCAGACAATAAGGGTGCATAAGGGTGCACCCCCCTGATTGTAAAACATATTGTAATTGTGTGGCCCCTTAATCGTCTCAATGTGTCATCAATTGAAGGCCAAACAACTAGTCCATGGGCCCATGGGACAAGGAAACACGTTGTCATGACATCTCCCTGACTTACATCTCCCTGATTGTCCTTCCAACCACTATGAACATGGATGGAAATGGAACATGTTCCAGAGAAGGCTCTTTTCTTCCACCAACTGGGTTTGTATTTCACTTCCTCGATCGTTGAAGTCTGGGGATCTGCGGTTCCCTTCCGTCCATCATCATGGCACCCGTGGCCTGCCCTGCGGTCGGGGTCCGTTCGGAAGAGATGGGCCATATAGACTCATAGACTAGACCAGGACCCACGGTCGGGGTGGTGAATGGACCCCCGCTTAACATCTAAGGGGCTCTCAATAGAAGCCGGGTGGGTCACAGCCCGCCTGTTTTCGTCACTTCATCTCTACTCAGTCCCGGGTCCGCTGCTGCGCCACGGAAGCCTTGGGGCGCTTGGCGGTGAGAGGTGACAGGCCAGGGATGACCATGTGTCCTTGGGGCGCTCGGCTGAACGCCAGTGGACATGTTACAATATATGGTTGTTTATTGCTTTCTCAGTTCGTTCTTCATGTTTCTCCATGATTGCCAGTGAGCTGTGGGTCAACAAAATCATCAAGGCTCAGTAGACCCATGTAAAGACTTGTGAAGAAACATTTGCTTGATGGTCGACCACTGGTCTTGTTTGACTTGGCACCCAGTGAGCGATTTCGGACCCAAAGTGCAAAGGGCATGAATCGGGATGAATGACTGAGCTGAGATGGGTGAGTTCCCCAAAGTCTGCTGAATGGACGGGCAGAGAATGAATGGCAGAGTCGAACGCAGAGAAAAGAATCAGGCAGAGTCAAAGGGTCATCTCGAATTCTGAATGATCATCCTGGACACCAAATGCCTTGATAGATCTTTCATGATCTTTCTTTGCATCGGAATCACTGAAGCACGTGGTCTCACGCTTTTTGGGCCATGAACATGGATGAGGTGAAGCGCTGACCAGTACAATCTCCACGCTGAGTGTTCTATAATTCAGAAGACCCCCACCTCATGGTGGAGTCCTTTGGTCAGTCCAGTCACGTCTCCCTAGGTCTGTGCATGTTTGGCTCCAAACACTGGAAAGACAGACCCGTCGCCTTCCACGAAGGGTGCGCCCGTTGAGCACCGTCACGCACCTGAACCCGTGGCTCGCCACCACCTCCGGCCCGGTCCCACCGGTCCGACCGGGAACCCCGGTCCGCTCCAACGTCCGCCAGTCGCGTGCTCACGTCGCTGCTGCAGTGCCTCGATGATGAAGCAGATGCCGTGCGCCGGGCCGCCGAGCTGCCGGCCTGTTTGGGACCGGGCCGCGCGCCCTCGCGCGCCCGCGCCCGGCCGGTGGAAGCGCGCCCGCGCCGGGTGGGCTGGTGACTCGACAGGTAGAGGTTTGGGGAGGTGGGGCTGGTCCCATGGATGGAGGACTCCCTTTACACGGCCGGAGGGTCACGGCGCACAGCTGCCCTGAGCAGCTCGAAGAAACCCTGCACTTTTGCGAATCGAATCTATGAAAGATGGGCCGTGACCCCCACCTGGAGCCCATCTGGAGCCCGACTAGTCCACCAGAAAGCAGCGAATGACCAGTCAGCTGATTGGTCTCACAGAGGCTCCGTCTAGTCACTCTCCGCCATCTTCGACTCACCGCAGCCAGCTCGGTGATCTCCGAGCGCCCGCGTGGCAGGCCACGAGTCTGGGGTACGTGACCTTTGCGCCGCTGCAAGAGCTGGAAGTCCAGGAGCCGCTGGAGCTTTCCGACTCGGAGACTTCCTCCAAAGTGACGTGGGAGTGTGACGCGGGCATGACGCGACGACGACGGCGCGGGCATGACGCGGAGACCGGAGGTGTGTTTTTTGAAGGGTTCGTCATCGATGACGCGCACGTGAGCGAGATCATGTTGGGATAGATAAAGATGTTTCAATAGTTTTCGAAGTATTTTTTTAATGACAATCTCTTCCTTGCAAGTATGGGACTTTCGGGGGGCCCTCCCTGGTTTGCGACCCCCCTAAATATGAGGGCACTTTCTAACCTGGACTGTTGATTTGTGTGGTGGGGTTCTTCCAGATTTATGCACAACCACAACTGCTTGCTATACTCAAACGGCACAAAGAGCTCAAGACAAGTATACATCTGTAACAGTCAGTAAACAATTATCACTATTTTTGAACAAGGCCTGCAACCTAACCATCATCATCCCCTGTTACAGCTAGTAGGATAGACCCAAGGTATACATAGGGTCTGAAGTGTGTGCCTTGACATGAAGTCTGAAGTCTTGGAGTTTCCACTGACCCTGACCCTCGAGTTTTTATATCCGTTCTCTCACCAGGAGCGACAGATCGCGGAACTCGAGTTCCGTGAGCAGCACGAGGTGCGGGGTTAATCGACACAAGCAAAGCTGTAGACCAGGACCAGGAGCAGATGGATGTGTCTGTTTGTCTGTCTTCCTGCCTGCTTACCTGCCTGCCTGTTTGGCCGTCTGTCTGTCTGCCTGTCTCTGTCTCTCTCTCTCTCTCTGTCTCTGTGGTAAGGAAGTTATTTTGTGCTCGGTGAATGCTTGGTGGTTTCGATTTTTTTCCCCGAGCTCTTTCCCGAACCAGGTCGACGTTTGGCAAATCCTTTGTTTGATACATATTTATCATAACATAATCCTTAACTCCTCATCCTCAATCAAGAGAAGGGTTCCATGGTGCTTGAGGACTTGTGGATGAGTGCAGTTAGTTGCAGGCTTTGCTCTGCTCCGGCCCGAGATCGCATAGGTGTCGACCCGAGATCGCATCATCGCAGAGCTACGAGAAAAGCATCAGAAGGTGCCCCGTCCGTCTGGTGGGGTGGAGGGCCACGGGCCCTGCAGTGGGTTTTCAGCCATGTCAAACAACCATGGAATGAGCACAATGAGCCTGAATCAGCCATGTCACATGTCTACACATGTCTGTCATGTCTATCACAAATGCTGGCTGATTTGGACACTCTTCTCCAACTTCTGGTTCTTTGTGGGTCAGTGAGCGGCCTGGAGTCGTCAAGTTGAGCCTTCTAAGATGGCCAAACACTCCACTTCAAGGCAACATGCCTTGGTGAAAGACATGTGGAAGGCCCCCCAACTGCTCAGGCTCCAATCGTTCACGACTGCGTGTTTCTTTGTGTGATCCCAGAATCCCCAGAATCATACCTGACCAGATTCCGGACTTCTTGGTGCCACCTGGGTCGAATCAGACCTCATTCCGAAGCGGCGCGTGGACCCGCGCCGAGTTCGCGTCCTCGCTTCGGCACGTCCGACGTTCCGACGTTTCGCGTTCGCGTCCTCGCTTTGGCAGGAAAGCACTGAGCTTCGTGCTCGGATCTTCGAGCTGGAGGCCTCCGACTGTGTGGCCGTCGGGGCGCAGCGCCCGGAAATCCCATGCGTCGGGGCGCAGGTCCAATGCGTTCAGAGACCTTGTTTTTTTTGTGTTTAGTTCAAGATGCAACCATCGAGAGACTTGAGCCTCGACTTGATGGAGTGTCCGGTTCCGCGGATGACCGCGGGGAACCGCGACGTCTGTTCGTTCGTTCGTTTCGTTGGAGAATCGCACTTCGATCAGGACCCAAACACCTCTTTTGGGGGGTCGAGACGCCGAGTTTTCGTTGTGCCAACGTCACCGACTTAAGTCGTCGTGGAGGGTCGACTGTGCTGATAGACCCACAGAGACGGCTTGCACAGACCGGTGACCTTTGGTTTGATCAATGTGGGTCGACTGCAACCGCTGTCTCCAGAAAGTGAGAACTGAGCTGAGACATGAAACACTACCAGACCAACAGCCAACCTTTGCTCATTCACCAGACCCTTGCCAATACAAGATTCATAGTCCAATTTGATGAGTTGTCCATTTGTCAGGATGGCCTGCCCTTAGCATCCAATTCAAAACAAGCGATGAATCCCGCAACTCCATGGCCGCAGCTTGGATCCTGCGAAACAGCGTCGAAGCATTTCCATCAGGACCAACTGAAGCTGGAGGTGGAAAAACGCGACCTGGAAATCCAGCAGCTCAAGCATAAGCTCGAGGAACAGGTGCACCGCGGACTTGTTCGTTTTCTTCTTATTGTTCTTCCTTTGAATGGGGTGAACACGTTGGTACATGTGCGACCCCAGCCTGGACCCCCTTCCACGCCCATGCATGGCCCCGCATGTGGTGGGTCATTCCAAACGTTTTGGCCGCCCAGCAGCTGCTACGGCTGCACCGTTGTTCGGCAGGAGTGGATCGCAGGCGTGGCAGGTGTCATTCCACACTCAGGAGAGGGGTGGAGATTTGGGGCTGATGTAGAACGATCGTAGGGTTTTGGAAAAAACTAACTCCCGATCCCAACAACTTGGGCTGGTTGGTCTCTACTCAACTCTTTACATTCTTATGTCTTAGGTTTGGTTGGTTGTAAGCTTCAAATGGGTGGATTTAGTTGATCTTTTGAGCCATGCACATGTTCATTTCTCGAACAACAAACATAGACGAAGCACACCAGAGTCGGGTCGCCACCGCGCAGTTTGGCCATGTGGCTGAACACTGAGAGCTGAGAGTTCAGTTTTTGGGATGTCAGGAGAGATCTCAAAGTTCCTGGACACGCTTCCTGACTTAGCATCTCGGCGCAAGGCTTTTTTGGAGATACATTGGCATTGCAGCAGCTCGTGCGGGCAGCGGGCAGCGGGCAAAGTAGGTGGCAAGATGTTTCCGTTGGCATCAGTTGGCATCACCGTCATGGAGTCGTGGTCCTTGTAGGTTTCCTTTGTTTCCATGGATGACCTTCTTTTGGACTCTGGACGGACAGGGGAATGGAATTGATGACCTTCCTAGTACACCACTCGTGGGCGTTCGTGGGCCAAATCGCCCCCGTCTCTAGGCCGGTGCTGAGCACTACGGGAAGCAGATCTTGGCGCCGATCTGGGCTTTGAGGTCGGGCGCCGCTCCGGTGCCACGTGCCCGGCCGTTGGTTGACGGCGGGCGAAGGCTGTGGGAGGTGAACATGGCACGACGGAAGGACCAGGCATTGGGTTCCTTGAAATCTAGATCATGGAACCCTTCAATCCACGTATGACATTTCTTGGGGGCAGGGTTTTGAAGTCTGGAGGCCGTTGAGGATCGGCCATTGGTGAAGTCTTTGAGACATACTCGCACAAGTATGGCTTACAACAAGGACTCCCCTATGGTAGTATTCACCAGGCAAGTAGACAAGCGGCTGATACCAGATACCTGATTTTCAATCCAGGTGTGGCAGTTATTGAACATACACACCGCAACTTATGGGACTTGCTTTCACATTGGCCAGCTTCCAGCCACTCTTCAAAGCAAGTCAAGCCGTATTTGGACCTGAACCCCATCCCTCTATGAAGACTAAGATTGAGGACGATCTGACCCAGTGAAAGCTTGTGGTTTCTAGCTGCAAAGAGGCTTTTGCCTGCCTGGTGCATGTCTGTTGCAAGAGAGTGTCACAGGTTAGAACCCTATTCTTGAAACGTCACTATAGGCCTCCTTTATCACGGTAGTCTTACCTTTCAGGCTTCTGAAGCGACCGGGAACGCTGAAGGCATTGAAGGCTCAACTTTCACCGCCATGGTGCTGATGCATTGGCTGTTGTGGAGCGCCAGCCTCCTAGGTGAGAGGGTCGGAGATCGTTGGATTGGGTGCAGTTTGCGATGTAGATGCGTCTGAACAGCCTTTTGGGGTGCTTTTTGATGCTTTTAGCAGTGTCGCAGACTGCCCCTCCCATTCACGAGCTTCCCAAGCTATATGAGCTGCATGTTCCTTCTTCAAGGTCCTCCCAGCTCCCAGGTCCGGATTTCGAGACCAAGCCAATTGACTCTGCGCGAATCCCGGGACTAGTGGCGTCTGACCTCAGGCGCGGCTGCTTTGCGCTTTGCCGAAGTGTTCGGCGATTACGTGGTGTTGCAGCAGCAGCCCGCGAAGGCGGGATGGCCTTCTTATCCACAGATATTTAGGATACTGAAGTTCGGCCATTCTTTTGGACCCAAACGCCAAACGACCAGTTTCACCCAGGGCAAGTACAAGAGATTTTTTTGTTTCACCCTGGTAATTTGGTGTGCTCCGTCAATGGAGAAGATGACTTAGACCTATTCCGCTCATCATCCACCGATCCACCTGAGGGCGATCATCACCGCGACCCACAGGCGGCCATCTTTGGAGAGGTGAATGACACCTCGGTGTCCACGGTGACCGTCGAGCTCTCGGCAGGGTCCAAGAAAGTGGCCAGCGTGGAGGCGGGGAGACGTTCCGTGCACGTGGATGTGGATGTTGATGAAGCTACTTTTGACCAGCAGCAGGTCAAAAGCAATCAGCTGTCTCTCAATGACTTTAAGACTTGTATAATTATGGATATTGTATGATATTGATTGATATTGCATGCTTTAAAAAGCTCTCTCTAACTCTCTCTCTATATATATATCTATATTTTTATAATTCCTATATGTTAATATTCTATAGATAGGCAGGGTTCAAAATGCAAGGACCTTCTCTACCCGTTCCAGGGGTTCTGCCATTTCTCTCGAGGGTCATCACCAACAGGCTTGGCAGGGCACCACAAGGCCCTGGGATCATCGATTTAGGCCCCTGCCATTCATGGAGTTCTTGCCCCTTCAATGAGTTCATGATGCCGAAGTCCAAAGACGATTTACTTGGCACCACTCAAGTACAGGACATATGTCTATTAGACTCGGATCACCTCGTACCGAGCGTTTTCAGAATGGTCGACGGTGCGTCCGGGCAGAGTCGAGTCCCGCCGTCGAGGCCAACGTGCTGGGTGGCACCTGGAAGGCACTGCTGCCGCCCCAAGCCGCGGGCGGCCAGTGGTCCATCACGGCGAGGGCTGGCACGAAGTCTGTGGATGCTTGGAGTGGTCGGACATGTCAATCCTCTTGGCAGCCAGCGGAACACAGAAGTGGATTTACTATTCTCATTTTTACATATGTTTCTATTCTCATATTGCTCTTCCGAAACAAAAGAAGTGGATTTAATGAGGACCAACTCTACTCTACGTGTCAAAAAAAACACATGTTATTGCTTCCGAGCACGGATTGATAAACCATTTCCAATACTTGAGCCTATCCTACTTGTGGCCACTGATCTCATCTCAGCACAGATTGTACCGGAATCAAGTGCATCGCTACT